AAATTGTTATTTAGAATTAATTCTTGATAACAATAAATAAATAAATAAATAAATAATTTATATATGTATATATTTATATCAATTTGCCATGTAAACGGAAAAAATTCTATATACATAGCTAAATGCCTTTTGCTACTGTACATTTTCATCCGAAATATGATTGACTGATATTTGTTATTTACTTTACGTTCTCTTTATTTTTATTTTTATCCAGCACTTTTATCCCACAAATGAATTCGTGTCATTCCAAATATCTCCTCTCGTAGCCTCGTTCCATAGCTAGCCTAGAGCACACTTAGCCGAAACTATAGGGTATTGCGCTGTCGACTACCACGACATCGTTTTCATCAGCGCAATTGCATAATTGAAAACGAATCGAATCGAAAACGAATCGCGAAAACGTAACGGCGCCTGCGCAGCTGCGACGTACCGTTAGCCCATGTAACCACCAATACTCATGCATTTTCTCTGCTGTTCGCTTCGCTTCTCTTCACAGATGACATCTTTAACCTTGCACTTGATAGTGATAGCTCTGCTGGCTGTGGCAGCAGCGGCAGCAGCTGCAGTCGCCGTGGCAGCGGACGGTGATGCGGCAACGCGCCCCGTTGTGCCGCGCGGCAGAGGCGCGACCAGCTATGCGAGCGCCTCCTCGACGACCAGCACGCAGGCGCCAACGCTGCGAGCGCCGCGCCTACGGCGTCCGCCCACGACGCTGCCCATCGACAGTGGGCATGGGCGTCGCGGTGGCAGCGCCGCCAGCACCACGCCTCTGCCGCCAGCAACGGTGCGCCAGCAGCGACGTCGTGCCACAGCAACAACAACAACGACAGCAACAACATCGACGACGACGATGGCCCCAGCCTCAGCTGACAGCAATGGGCGTGGTCGCAGCCGCAGCAGCGCCAGAGCCGCCCGCCAGCCACGTGACACGCCAACGCCCAGCGCATCGGAGTCATTCAGCCCGAGCAGCGCCGGCGGCTGGCCTCAGTCGCATCAGACGCTCTCGTCGCTGTCCTCCAGGCCAGGCGCTGCCTCGCGCAGCGGCTCCAATCCCAACAAAACGTGAGTTCCACTTTTGCTTGATCTTTGTTTTTATGCGGGACTTGGGCTTGAATATGCAGATGAGCACGTGACACGAGCACGAGTTGATCCACGCACTCGGGACACGATAAGGTTGAATTGAGAAGCTATTTTTAAATGGGACACAAATTTAGACAGAGCCTGAATACCCTGCATTTGTATATTTGTAATAGAGGGCATATTAACTTGTCTACTCAAGAAGCACGAAAAACAATATATATACATGTATGTATGAATCGACGTATGTATGTACATATGTATATATTGTATTTAAGCTTTATTGAAGCATTGATGCCTGTATAAATAGATGGACCCTAGGGGCTAAAGCAAAGTGAGAGACTTACAGGGTATATTCAATAGCTTTTTATAAGCGTATTGATTCGAATTATAATTTTTCATAGTTTTAGAACTTTGAAATATACACATGACGCCGAAAAATACCTCTTGAGCTAGATAGTGTACTCTTAACCCAATTACAGACTGATATACTATTTTTGGTTCGTAAGAGAAGCGAATGTAAATCTGTTCAAGTTTATTATTATATTTATCTGTTACCACTCAATGCGGAATATCGATTTGTCATCGCCTATTTTCATTTCTTAAAATTATATAAATATATCTCTTTATACTCACTTTGCATACTAAAAGTAGTTGGGCTACCTAGGCGAAAACTGAAGTATATTTATAGCCATACCAACTTAGACCGTCTGTACGTCTCCAGTCAGTTTATTCAAAGTAAATCAAGACCTATTCGATCCTGACTTCCAATTATTCAAAGTAAATCAAGACCTATTCGATCCTTACTTACAATTATTAAAAGTAAATCAAGACCTGTTCGATCCTCACTTCCAATTCAAAGCAATACATAAATTCAGTTGTCTATTCAGTTTAGTTTACATAGTTCACATAGATGTAAAGATTCTTACCGAAGAAACGCATCTCAAGAGGTCTAGGGGTGAAATTCATCTCAGTCCTAGCCACAACACTTTTGGAGTATTTGAATTGAAAGGAATAGACATAGATAGCCAACATATAGTTAAGGTCTATTCAACTAGTTTACTGAGGCAATAGTCTTCGATTGGCCAGCTCTTGGCTGTCACGCGCTCATATCTGGCTGAGACTTGGCCTGTCGCTGGTTTTTAGGCGTCTGCCCATTTGGGGCGCCGCCATTGATTAATGCTTCAGGCGGCAGTTGCAACGGTCTTCGATCTGGTTCCATGTCTAACTGCGTGTCTTATCTTCGTTCGCAGGCCGCGCATGATCCAGCGCTTGGTGGCTGGCCACATTCACAATGCGCAGGGCCATTCCACCTATGAGGTGTCTGCGGTGAGTGCCAACAGCAGCAGGAGCATTGCAATAGCAACCACAGCGCCAACAACAACAACAACAACGACGACGACAACGACAACGACAACAACAACAACAACCCCCAGCCCAGTCACGAGAAAATCAACAACAACAGCCTCAACGAAACGACGCAAGGCCAGCAGCACTTATCGTCTGGCTAAGCCGTCGCCATCGCCGTCGACGCCGCCAGAGCGGGAGCACGATGACGACGAGGCGCTGCTCAGCGAACCGGATGACTTCGACAACTGGGACAATGGCATACTGCGCTTGAGCGCCGGCTCCGGCAAGGAGGCGGAGACGGCCAGCGGCAAGGGTCAAGGCAAACAGGGCAAGGAGGACGCGAAGAAGACTCTGGCGGATCAGGTGCGCGACGGGAAGTACGGCTTGATTGAGAAGGAGCTCTTTCGTCGCGTGCCCAAGCGTCCGGGCGTGCTGAGCTACGCACGCAATCCGGAGGTGCCACAGGACAACGAGCGCAACTTTGGCGGACTCAACGAGCAGGACATTTGGCTGGCCGAGGATCACTTGCTGGTGATCAAGGGCGGCGGCCTGAATGAGGCCGAGCTCAATGGCGGCGACAGCGAGCCGTGGCCAGCCATTGATGATTACGATGCGCCGCCGCGACAAATCAAACTGCCGCCGAATCCGGTGGTGCCGCCTCCATTTCCCGTGCAGCTCGAGCCGCATGGGCCACTGCAAATTATCCGAGATAATCAAATCGAGAGCCTCCATACGCCAGCTGTCAATGCAACGCTATCCGCTGTGGGCCAGCACGCGGCCTACGGCCAGGGCCATGGAGCTGCCCACGGCCAGGGGTCGCATTCTGCTGCCCGGCCGGGAGCGTATGCGTCGCCTAAGACAGCTGACCCGGAGCCCAGCTACGTCTACCCGACGCCCTACGCGCCCTGGCTGCTCTATAACAACGAGACGCTGGCCGAGCAACCGCCGTCCCATCCACATCCCAGTCCGACTCCCAACGCGGTGCTAAGGAGTCCGCTGCTCGGGCCCTGGCTCATCAATGGACTCCATTCGAATGGCAGCGTCTCTGCTCCAGGCGCGCTGCACGCCAACATCAGCGACTTTGACGAAGACGATCCCTCGCTCTACTATCCGCCCGCCTACAGCTTTGTCTACCGAAGCAACTACACGAATCCGGTGCCGCCGGGGCCATTGGTGCCCGGCATTGTGCTACCTCCGCCGCCAGATCACTTTACCCTCTTGGAGACGACGACCACTTCGACAACAACGCGGCGTCCGTATAGCAGCACAACGAGCACTACACCTAGCACTACCAGCACCACCACCAGCAGCAGCACCACTAGCACAACCACCACGCGAGCTCCGTCACGCCTGTCGGTCAAGTACAATGCCATCGGATATCTGCCGCCCGCACCACGCCACCAGCAACAGCCTCAACAGCAGCAGCAGCAGCAGCAGCAGCCGCAGCCGCAGCCGCAGCCGCCGAACAAGTACGTGGAGCGCGTGCCGGTGCCGGTAGCGGTGCCCATACCCATTTACCCCATCAACTATCAGCCGACCACACCACGCCCACAGCCACCCGCCCAGCTGGTGTTTGTGCCGAGCACAGAGCGGTCCAATGAGAGGGTGAAAGAGGAACGGGGCAGGGAGCGGGAACGGGAACGGGATAGGGATCGCGAGCAGGCGCCGTTGTCGAAATCGAACCCCATATACTATGAGTACTTCGAGGCCAAGCGCCAGCCATCCTCCCTCAAGTCGAATGTGATCAATGACTTCCTGGCCACGAAGCCGCCCAAGCGACCGCACTACAAATCTCCGCCGAGTCCCGTGAACGATGTGGCCGTGGTTAGCATTACGCCCAAGCCACGCGTCCAACTGCACTCGGAGTACGATGCGACGCTCGGCCAGCTGCTCAGAAGCAACCTCATTGCCGCACCAGCGACGTCCCGCTTCCAGCCGCCCGACTTCGACAGGCAGCCCTTCCTGCCCATGGTCAACTACAGCGTCGACGAGCACGACCAGAACGCCTTCAAGGCCATCGTCTACCAGCCACAGCCGCAACGTCAGCGTCAGCTGCGTGTGGGCAAGCACCAGCAGCTGCAGCTACAGCTGGAGCCGACCACACAGCCGGGCCAGGAGCAGGACTCCTCCTACCTGCCAGACTCGCTCCTGCTGCAGCGGCAGCGTCAGCTGAGAGTCGGCAAGCAGCAGCTACAGCTGCAGCTGCAGTCGCCATCGCCGTCACCCTTGCCCTACGACAGCCAGCAGGGCGTGTACAGCACGCCCCTGCCGCCAGCCTACTTGGACAATCAGCTGCAGCCGCGTCCGGCCAAGTACCAGCTGCGTCCGCCCTCACCGGCTCCACTGCAGTACTGGCAGCGTCCCGCTCCTCCGCCCCCGCCGCCGCCTCCGCCACAGTTCAAGCGTTTGCGCCATGGCAGCGCGAAGCATCCATATCCGCCGTACTTTGTGCCCAGCTATCCGAGCGGCCCCGGACCGGAGCCCCTCTACCGCCTGCTGCCCGTGCCGCAGCACAAGCACTGGCGCCAGAGCAACAAGCACCAGCACCAGCAGCAGCAGCAACAGATTCAAGTCCAGCCACAGCAGCAACAGCCGTACTATCCGGACCGTAACGTCAATATTGGTCACAGCCTGGCCAGCGACATCTTGGTCAACTACAACACCAACAATCAGTTCAATCCGCAGGCGGAGCTGGTGCCCCAGGCGCAGCTGGGCCCGCCTCCGCTCTCCTACCAGGCTCAGAACGGGGGCCAGGCCTCGCTGTGGTCCGACCGGCCCGTGCGACAGGCGCGCGCCCAGCTGCAGGAGCAGGCCTAGGCCCAGGCGGTGGACCCGAAAGCTTGCTGTTCAAATGTGATCTAAAGTGAAACCCGTTGGTGGGGGCCAAGTTGAGCCAGTTCACAGTCGAGGGAACTAGTAGATGAAATAGTCAATGATTCATTCACACACAGTCTCAGTCTCAGTTTGAGTTGCTCCGACTCCGATTTTGGCTCCGATTCCCCAAAACTTTATTCAAATCAACAACAAATCGATAGCATACGTTACATAACCCAGCCCTGGCAGCCAACAACAACTCAGCTTGATGTTGAATATTTTGAATACAGTTGGTCACATCTGTCTCTTATTTAGCTATCCAATAAAATAGGCAAGAAAGTTTGTGTGCTTCACAAGCTATGCGCATGCAGAGTAAGCTATACATATATTTTAATATACCATATAAATCATAACTATATTTCATATATATATATATATACATATATATTTGCGAATGCAAATGTATTCCCTAATTATAAAGAAAAACTTGTGTAAATATATTAAGGATATGACTTGTACGATTTGTGTATGCCAAATAAGCGAGAGAAATGCGTTATTTGGGTGCTACACAGAATTTATTCTTAAGCAACAGGAGCGCACAGAAAATAACCCTGACTACTGTTATTTTTGCAACTATCGTGTTTATAAACTTGCAACACAAACTTAATTTTTTTTTTTTATTTATTTAAATAAGCCGACCATTTTCGAGTGTTTTTCAAATTCTAGAGCAAAACTCCGCACAAATTTGTATAAAAGCCATAATAATAAGTTCACTATAAATTAATTTAATGCACATAAGCAAATAACAGAACTTCCAATTATATATATAAATAGCATATATACATATACACATATATATTTTATATAGATTTTTTTTTTTTTTTTTTTTGGTTATCTATGACAAAATTATTTACAAATAAGTGTAGCCGAAAATCATATTCATTTAAATAAAGCAATTAAAAATTTAAACTCTAACGTTTTTCATTACGGAGGAAGATTGTGTGACCGGCGCATTGCTTTCCATGAGAGCACGCAGCCCTGGTGCGCGACAACAGCTGGCTGGGGCTGGAGCAATAAGAACAAAGAGAGCGTGAACATCACAAAGAGCGTAAGCGAGCCAAAGAGAGCGCACTCGCGTCATTGTATGTGGGCGTGCTTATGTGGGTGTACGTTCCAGCGTTGCGAATGTATGCGAGCGTGTGGGTGTGTGAGTGCGTATGTGTGTATTGCTGAAGAAGGCGGTGGGAGGTTGGGCAAACAAAAATCGATTGCAACAGCAAATCGACTACAGGAAGCGCCTCATAATAAGGCACGAAGCCGCGACGAGAACGTGAACGACGCACACGAAATAAGCAGAGGCACTTGAATTGACTTTGGCCACCCCGCCCGCCACATACGCCTCCTCTGTGCCTAGCAGCCGTAAAATGATTACAGGCTAACGCCAAAAAAAAAAAAAAGAGGAAGCAGCTAAAGGCAAATCAGCAGAAGAAGAAGCGCAGCAACAGCAGAGCCACTGGTCGAGGCAGTAGAGCAGCAGCAAAAGCAAAAGCAAAAGCAAAAGTAACAGCAACAGCAACAGCAGCAATTGCCAGGGAGCCAAGCGAAAAGGAACAAAATTGAATTTTATTACACATTGAGGCCTGTCCGCCTGAAAATAACTAATTAAAAAAGCTATTGAAAGCGAAAATTGCGCACTTGCTGGGCCGAGGAGAGTTGGAAAAGCGCGTGTGTGTGTGTGTGCGTGCGTGTGTGGGTGCGCATTCGACGTGTACGTGTACCTGTGTCCGTGTGTGTGCTGTGCGTGTATGTGCGAGTGCGTGCGAGTGTGTTGAGCGCTTCTGCTGCGCTTTTTTTATGCAAGCAAAAATTGCGATAGCGAGCAGCAGCGGCATCGGCAACGGCAGCGAAAAGGCTAAAGTGGCGCCTACGCCAGACGGCTGGAGACAAATGCGGCGAGCGTTGCAAAACTATGGAGCTGGATAAATGAAACAGAGCGCAGTTGAGAACAAACTCGAGTGGGAGCTGCAGCAACACTCAGCCTGCTGCTGTCGGTATACATTGTGCGAGGCACACATACCAGCGCGCATAGCTACGAACACGCACAAACACGCACACACACACACACACACACACGCAGTCACTCAGAGACATCCATTCAGTGAACGACTAAATCGCTGACACACACACACACACACACACACACACACACACGCACGCACGCACACGGACAGCAAGTCGATAACGCACGCCAAAGGATACATAACGGGACAACGAGTCCAAAATAGCAGCAAGTGAAGTCTGGCTGCCGGGCGGCCCCATTTATAAATAGCCTGTGGCAGACGAGCAACCAGCAGCACGCAGGTGTAAAATGGTAACAATGAACTCGGAGGCGGACAAAACACAGAGCAGCACGCAAGCAACCAATGCGCTGGCCATGAGCAGCGCACCGAAGTCACCAGTCCCAGCGCCAGCGCCAGCCCCAACCCCAGCTCCAAATCTAGAACCAACGGTCACTCCTGTACCAGCCATAGCAGTTGAGGCTCCAGCGGCAACCGAGGTAGCCATCCCAGCAGCAGAGCCAACAGAAATTGTTGCAGCAGCAACAGTCGCAGCAGCAGCAGCAGCAACAACAGAGGCCACAACAACAACAACAACAGTTAGCAGTTCAGTGTCAAATGGCAACAACAATGCAACTGCAACAGCAGATGCTGCAGCAGCAACAGTTGCTTCCGCAGCTGCAACAATTGCTGAGCCGGGACAGCAGCTGGTGGACACAGCCAATGCGAACAGCAGTAACAGCAGCGAGGTAATTCCCGTTGCAGTCACCACCACCAACACCACCAGCAACAGCAACAGCGCCAGCAATAGCGCCAGCAGCAGCAGCAGTGCCAGCAGCAACAGCAACAACTGCACGGCAACTGTTGCCGCTGCCACGCCTCCGCCGTCTAGCAAGACGGTGAGCATACGTGATGCAACGCCGCCAAGTGGCAGCGGCACCTCCACCACCAAGTCGAGCGGGCTGCTCAGCGTGGGCAGCAATCATCATCATCATCATCACCACTCCTCATCCTCGCAGTCGCAGTCGCAATCGCAGCCTCAGCCGCAGTCGCAGTCGCAGTCGCAGTCCGCACAATCTCAGCCGCCGGCAGCGCCGTCCGTGCCGCAGCAGCCGCCGCACCATCAGCGCGGCAGCAAAAACGAAGATGCGCCCAACATCCTCGTCTACAAGAAGGTGCGTAGCGAATCGAATAAAGTATAATAATGCAATCTAATCTAGAGGAACCGATACAGACATACATATGTATTTTAGACGCACGAGGCTATGGAAAGATTTCCACTATTTCGCAAAAGGCCAATAGCGCAGATATCTCAGTTCGTAATAACATAAACAGTGCCCAAAATAGAAAACGATTTCGTTTGCTCTTGAAATTTCTTACCGGGAATTCTCTCGCCCTGCCATAGGGTAAACTAGTTTTCTGACAGCTCTGACATTTTGGATATCATATAGTGAATCTACAGATTTTTATATTGTATTATACTTCTTCAGAAAGTACATTTGCATTTATCCTGCAGATAGATAGGTAGGACAGGTATGAGTATGATTATTAAATTCTGTAGAACTTGAACTTGTCGTGCTGTAACTTGATTTAAACAGAAATTTACAAAATATTTAGTCTTTACAACTATAGACCAAACAGAACACTTAACTTTGGGAAAGAAAATACAGAATACAATAGGCCCATACCAAGCATAAACATTTTTATTAGGTCATGACTCGGTCTAAACAGTCTTGAGGTTCATTCATATTATAACCAAAGTTTCTTTTCTCTCACGATATTTCAAGTTCGAGATTGAATTCAAAATCATTTCGAATAATATTTCTTATATGATTATTAGTTTGTAATTAATTCAAAGTCTAGTTCAGATATGATGCATACTAACATGATATATATACAAAGATTTGTGAGTACTCCTTACTTCTATTATTTAAAGACTATAATTTTTTATTTTAATTATAGCTGAATAAAACAACAATATATCCCAATCCTTCTTTATTTATTTATTTATTTTAAAAGTTGTTCACAAACCTAGAGAGACAACATATTAAAGTGTATGATAGAGCCTAAAAGTATAATGCCTATCAATAATACCACCCAGAGGGAATACTTTACTTGCCAGTCCGGCCAGCTATGCTATTGACTCATTCTGTATTAAATGTTAAACATGAATAACATTAGTTGGCAATACAATAATATTCTGTTATCTAACATAAGCTTAACATAGCATACCTTTCTGAATGTCCTATAGAGGATTGTTTTCTAAATCTCGATATATTGTTGAATGTTTGCAGATGGAGGCGATCATTGAGAAGATGCAGGCAGAGTCTGGTGGCGTGGCGGTGCGCACGGTAAAGGCGTTCATGAGCAAGGTGCCGTCGGTGTTTACAGGCGCCGATCTGGTCGCCTGGATACTGAAGAACTTCGACGTCGAGGATGTCACAGAGGCGCTCCACTTCGCCCACTTGCTCAGCTCGCACGGCTACATTTTCCCCATTGACGATCATGCGCTGACCGTGAAGAACGACGGCACGTTCTACAGGTGAGACGGCGGTGCCTACTTTTGGACGCAGCTCGAAAATCAGTTTGGAACCTCAGCTTGAACATGAACTTGTTGCTCTAGATTTCAGACGCCGTATTTCTGGCCCTCGAACTGCTGGGAGCCGGAGAATACGGATTATGCGGTGTATCTGTGCAAGCGCACGATGCAGAACAAGACGCGCCTGGAGCTGGCGGACTACGAGGCCGAGAATCTGGCCAAGCTGCAGAAGATGTTCTCGCGCAAATGGGAATTCATCTTCATGCAGGTGAGTGGACACCATTTGATGTATGCTTGACAGTTAATTAGCATATCTGAATCGACCAACTGCCAGGCCGAGTCGCAGAGCAAAGTGGCCAAGAAGCGGGACAAGCTGGAGCGGAAGGTTCTCGATTCGCAGGAGCGAGCCTTTTGGGATGTGCATCGGCCCATGCCGGGCTGTGTCAATACCACCGAGATAGACATTAAGAAGGCATATCGACGCGGCGGCTCCAGCCACGGCACCGGCTCCGCTGGCGCCTCGGTGGCCAAGAATCCCGTCGAGCAGCTGACCCGCATCATTGCGCTGCGCAAACAGAAGCTCGAACGGCGCACAATCAAAGTGTCCAAAGCGGCCGAAGCGTGAGTAGAACAGTTGCTCGATCACTGGGCTTCCCTATCTCATTTGAGCTTGTTTCAGTTTGGTTGCCTACTACGATCAGTACAATGAGTTCGATTACTTCTTAACCTCTCCGGAGCTACCGAATCCATGGCAAACGGACAGCACCGAGATGTGGGATACCGAGAAAAATAGGTAAGCCAATCGAAGCGCCTGCTCTTCGAATTGAAACCACATTGTGCTCTGTCTCGCCATGCAGCAAAGATGTTCCTGTACGCCGGGTGAAGCGATGGGCCTTCAGCCTGCGGGAGCTGCTTAACGATCCCATTGGACGGGATCAGTTCACAAAGTTTTTGGAAAAGGAATACAGCGGCGAAAATCTCAAGTGAGCTACGCACCCACAGCGGAAATACTGATCCAATTACTTATACCTGCTCTCTTGCAATACTGTTCAGGTTCTGGGAGTCGGTGCAGGAGATGAAGGCGCTGCCACAGTCCGAAATCAAGGAGGCCATACAAAAGATCTGGCAAGAGTTTCTCGCCCCCGATGCGCCGTGCCCGGTGAACGTGGACTCCAAATCCGTGGAGCTGGCCCGCGAAGCGGTCAACTCGCCAAATGGCCCCAATCGCTGGTGCTTCGATGTGGCCGCCTCGCACGTGTATCACCTGATGAAGAGCGATTCGTATTCGCGCTATCTGCGCTCCGAAATGTACAAGGACTACGTCAACTGTTCCCGCAAGAAGGTCAAGTCAATACCCAATCTCTTTGGCGTGAAACGTTGAGACACGCTCCGGCACTCGCCTGTCGCGGGACTTGGCCTCGGCTCCGGCTGAGCCATTGTTTTTTGTGTGTGTGATCAGTCGTTGGATGACTGGTTAGCTGGGTGGCTAGGTGGCTAGGTGGCTAGGTGGCTAGGTGGCTAGGTGGCCGGATGGCGATCAGTGTCAGGATCACATTGTGTGCTTGTTGTAATGTTTCGGAACTGTATGTAGTGCTCATATACTCGGACGCATACTCGAATCAATGTATATTAGACGTTGTTACTTATTACATAATAACCTACCAATTACCACTAGGTCGCGTGTGTTCTTAACGTCTCGTTTTGTTAACCGATCGACACGTTGCCCGTGTCCCGTGCAAGCGGTGCGCAGTCCCTGGCCGCAAGAGCCAGGACGACCCCATTTAGCCATTATCCGCTTCCTCGTTTCGGCCCAATTCGAAAGTCAACTCATTAAATCCTATCGAAAAAGAAACTGCCAAGAGCTTCTCGAAACAGGAATACAGCTGAAGATGAAGTCAGGAGTAAAAAGCAATCGCCGCAAAAGGATGCATAGCATGTTGCAGCCGCACGTTCAACGATGCTTCGCCATTGTCTAACTGTAACCGATAACACCAAAACAACAGAGAACACGAGCGTACGTGGGAATTACACGCACACATACACACACACACACACGCACACGCACACACATACGTTTCAAGTGTAATAATCAGTAGGGTAATTAGCATAACAAAAACAATAAAACTAAAGCAAATGCAAAAGCGAAAGCGAATGCGAAAACGAAAACGAAAAGAATACCAGCTACCACTGAGAGCCGAGTACATTCGCGTACTTCAACTTATACCTACATATACTTAAACTTATACTTATGCTTATACCTAAACTTATACTAATACTTATACTTACTTGTATTAGCATGTTACGAAGCAAACGGCGTTCAATCTAGACGAACAAATTGAATCAATCAATTCGAATCATAGATGAAAACAGGCGATTTCTTCATTTACACTCTTTATTTACACAAATGCATATGTATGTATGCACACACATGTAAATGCCGCTCTCTCTTCTCTCCCACTCTATCTCGCTCGCTCTGTCATTTATAGTTAAACTAACGCACACAAATGCAGCGCATCCTGCAGTGCGTTCTCATTTGTTCCTATGTTGCTCTGTTCCTTTGTTCGCCTGTTCTACACACACACACACACATTTACATATCGCCAAACGCAACAACTAAAGCCATAACTGTTGTTATTGTACCTTTGTTTCATTTGCACGCCTCTGCATATTGCGTGCTGTGCTTTGTGCATATGCTAGTGTATATTGATTTGTGTAAGTGTGCGTGTGGAGGATCATATAGTGTTGGAAAGAGAAGGAGAGCTAGAGAAGAAGTTAAGTTAAAATGCTAATGTAAAAGTTGTTGAGCGTTATGAATGCAACTGAGAGAGCGAGCGAGTGTGAGACAGAAAGAGAGGGAGAGAGACATAGCGCGAGAGTGGATTAGCAATCATCAGAGCTAAGCAGAGACGCACATACACACATACATATGTATATTTGAGTCAATGCTTGACGACAGGGCAATCAATCACTCAATCGTTTTCTTCAGTTTCACACAAATCGATACACACACACACACACACACATAGACATATGGACCTGTATGCACATAAGATGTGAAGTTAGTATATACACATACGGGTGTATGTATGTGTATGTGTATCGAGCAAGTCGTTCACGCACACACACACCCGCACGCACACTGCAATGCTTCTCTGGGCACGCGACATGGAGCAGAGGAATGGAAAATAAAATAGATAAAAAAAAGTGCTGCCTGCTTTTAGGCGGCGATTATTAATTGAAAACTGTAGAATGAAACCCGAAAATCTCTTTGTGTATGTAATTGTATTGTATTTATTGTATGTTTGTAAATGTAAAGCGGTGTCTAATTTAAAAGCAAAACAAAATTGAAATCATATACAAAAGCAGCAGCAGCAGCAAACAAAATAATTATTAATTATAAAATATATTGTATTCAAGTACAATCTCAATGTGCGTCTTCTGTGTGTCGGTAGTCAAATTTAAATCAATTTCAAGCAACTTATACTAAACTAAATACAGAATAAACACAAATACAAAACAAAGTCAAGTAAAAATGGATAAGCGAACTATATAAATGTTTACAATTGCTGAATTGGCTTTTTACGAGTATTATAAATGGATGGAGAAAAATGTTTGTTATTTAAGTTTTTCTAATTGTTTTACGATTTCATTTGCGTGATGGAAAAAAAAATACACACAAACACAAAAAACATAAACAAAACAAAAAGTGTTGGAAAACTGTTTAAGTACTTTGTTATTGTTTCCTCCATTGCCCACCGTTCTGAGAAAAAAAAAACTAATATAAACTATATAAGAGTACACAAACCATATGAGAAAAGCACTAGCAAAAAACGAAAAAAAAAACTTTAGTAAGCGAAACAAAAACTCTAAACAAAATCTACTTAAGCAATTTGAGTCGAGGTATTTTTGTTGTTGTTGTTGTTTTTTTTTTTTTTTGCATTACTTCGCTGTTAAGTGCATGATTTACATTTACATTTACAGTTACTAGAACCTATGTTTACCCAATCCCGTCAAGATTGTCTCGGGTAATCGTAAATGCCAAAGCGAATACACACAAAATACACGAATAAAGAAATAAAAATACAACTAACTAAATCAAAGTAACTAACAGCAGCAACTAACACATAACTAAATAACTAAATAAACAGATAAACAAATTAATAAATTAATAATTGTAATAATAGCCCCCGAGTAAGGTATTCGAATCAGTCGTGCTGAGCATAGCTAAATGTATTGCACCTCTCTATGTATTTGAGCCGAAAGGATCACAGTATAATAGAGCTTCTAGTTTCTAGAATCTGCAGCCACCGTATTGTATCTAGGCTAGCTGAACAACTGGAAATGCAAGCGACCGCGTTTATTGTAAATTGTTTAACAAAACACTAAATAAATAAAGGCGCAATTTAAGTGAATTTAAATTGTGACCCCAATTACTAATAACCCTTTGTCTTTCCAATCAACTTACAGGTATTCCGACTAGGGATGCTTGGGAAACTATAAACATGATAGACCTGGCCGGAACATAGCCCTGGTATTATAGACATAGCGGTGTTAGATAGTGTCTTGGGCAAATCATGGGATACCCAGTTATAAAGTAGTTTTATCTATTTGTACACCAATATAATCCTGTAAACTGTAAGGCGGAGACCTCCAAGCAACTACAATAAACCATCTTATAATCTAGAGCCTAGCACAAATTCCAATGGACGAACAAGTAAGCGTACTACTAGTAGCCGACTAGGAAATACCTTGTTGATACAATCATTCTGGACTATATTATAAATACATAGCAAACTCTATTTTCAAATTTAAGAGAATGCTAAAAGTTATCTAAGACGCAACAAGTAAATGGAGTGTCTCAAGATGTTTAATAGTTTAAGGTTATGTTGAAAATCAACGTCAAAAGAACGTCATCTAAGATATGATTAGAATACCATACTCAATGCTGTATATACAAGAATATACAGCATTAGATAGTATTTGCCGTTCATGACATTGTTGTATGTATCCTGAATCGAGCCTCTGCCTTTAGTGGGCTAAGGATATACACAGCCATTTATGGATAGAGTTAACTCTGAGGTAAAGCAAATGTAATCTGCTTATGAAATAGGAATACCTAACGCTTACAGCTTATGGTTGAATGGACGTACTCAATAACAAATAAACGGTGTTGTTACGATCAAGCTGATCAAGGACATACGTATATTCACGATTGGGCGTCCTCTACTGTTAGACACTTCTCAATGCAGCCACTTAGTTCTCAAGAAGAGTAAGAGTAGGACGACTTTAAAGGGAATAGAAATAATCGTAAAACTATCCAAAGTGTTGTGGTCCTTTAATGGGACTCTCAAGCTTGTAAGCAAAATGGCCAGCATCAAGTTGGGCTTCGTGCCTGAAGCATCGTTGGCCACATACATATCTGTTGTTGTCTGGCTGGGTGTTGTTTGTATAGCGACTAGATAAGCCTAATGTCAATTGATAACGACGCAGCAGCAATGACAGCGCTGAAGCAGCGCTAAGCTCTAAGCACTTCCCGTCACGAAGCTGGTCCCTCTCATAAAGTTCAAGTGGCTTATCAATGTGCCTCTGAATGCTGGCCAAGTTATCTGCACACGGCTCTAACTAAAAACCACTTATCTAGTTGATGCAGGGCTCGTAAGCCACTTAGCCAGCTACCCACTTAGCCAGATAGACGAACTGCTACTGGGACCCGGACTGCGCCGGAGTCCGATAAGGCGCCGAGACGTGCCAAAAACTACACAGAGATGATCAACATTTACAACTGCAGTTAATAATATAAACTAGCTTAGCTTTTCTTCGTTATTTTTTTTTTTTTGGAGGGGGGCTCTGACAACAATCAGTTCGGAAATTAGAGACAAGTCGAGCTTGCTCAATCAGAGTAGCCCACTAGAGTCGTTCCGATCACGTTTTTGCTATAAACAACGCACAACACTCAATTTGCATGCGGGTCCGACAAAGGGACAGCGACTTTTTCTTGGGGGTGGTCGGGCGTGTGAAATTCCCCTGAAATCATTGATCTATAGCGAGTCATTGTACTTGACTCACGAAAATAACGGCATAATGACGCACATATTTATTTGGAGAACAAGAGCAATAGCTAAAGAGCCTAGGATCTTGCCTATTGACTGTAGTCTTGTAGGGTTTTAAACCCTATATAACGTTTATCACAGCCTATTAATCCACAATCAGCATTACATTTTGGGCTCAGATGAGAACTCAGTTCAAAGACGGTTCTCAGTACTCGATTCAAGAAGCTTACAATTGTTATAAATGAAAACTGTTTGAACTGATTCTCCGATATTATCTTTGCCTTGAATGAGAATGTTTCCTAGTCTGTCCTTAATCCAAAAGGCAGTAAAATTCAAATAGTATATATAGGGTTATTATTCTTAGTCATCTGACGGATTTAGCTCCAAATATGATTATGAGTACATGATTTTGAATAATGCAATTTACATACCTCTATGGAATTTGCTTTCAACCCATATGTTGCTTATCTGAACGTATAACTCGTAGTTCGATGAAACAACTGCGAGTTCGGATTCAATCAATCAATAAAGCTTGGATTCTGTTGTGATTCCGAATAATATAATTGATATATGTACATATTTTCTTGGTTTTTACTATGAACTATAATATCCATATGAAGGTATTTTATGGACTAGAGTGAATAAAGTATAATAAGCAATTCAGAGTTCGTAAGTCTGCAGAGCCAACTGAATTCAAGCCCCTATTACAACTCCGAGTATTGTCATTGATATATCCCAATTGATTTTACTGTAAACACATTCGTCTATTTAAGTGGAATTAGATAATAACAATGAAATCCGATAGTTCGATAAAACAGTTCGGAAATCCGAGGAGTCCATGGTCAGAACAGAATGTCTGTATGCCCATACGTATTTAGTTACAAGTTTTATTCCGAATCGGGTTTACTATAAATTATATATTATATAAACTATACTGAGTATCGAGTGTCCCACTCATAGCAATACAATAATGAAACTCAACAAATGAATAAACAATATGCAGCTGCGTTACAATCTGAATCGATTGCAAAACAAATTGGAAATAGCAATTAAGGAATTTGAGTGACCGATAACGAGTCGATAGATAAGTAGATACA